CTTTGCTACATGTATACTCTTCTTGGAATACGTAATCTACTGGGAAACATTATAAAAGAACATGGCAGTATAACTGTTTTGCTCTACAGAGTGGTTGTCATGAAAGGCTCTCAAAGTACTCTGCAATCAATTTTTATTATCAGTCCCTGACAAAAACCCTCAAAGTCCAATAATTGGCTCATAAAACTAAATAGTAAAGGAAAGGGGAAAATTAAGAAGCATGGTGCATTATAAATGCTATCATAAATGGAGGCCTAATGTATCCTTATTAATGCATTCAGTTATTGACAAGTATGCATGCAGTCACATTTTAAAGCTTTGGTCTTAATTTGTCACAGACTCACTGAAAGCCATATTGGTTGTGCTGCTGCCATGGTCTCCTTCTGTCTTGGTCTTCCATCACGGAAGTCAGAGACACTAACGCTGACGGGCCCTGGGAAGAAAGCATTTTCAAAGAAATTTGAAATTCTGAGAGTAAGCAACAAGTTTTTTTTAAAACAGTGTGCTAGCAATTAGACATTGGACTATTCGTAGGACGGTAGACGTTTTAAAAAGACGTGGAAAAGGAGAAGATTTAGAAGAAGGGTTAAAAAAAGAATCAGAAAGATAAAAATGTTAACGAGATTCTGGCAGAAAAGGCAACAACTGAGTACCCTTTAATATAGTCACACAAGTACATATTTGTGTTATGTCCATTAAAATAAGTTTACGTTTAAAGTACTTACTGTTGAAACACAACAGTACCCGGAATGATCTACTCTTGGTTATTGAAGTCAATATTTTTGTGTTTATTTGACTAATGTCAACCACACCATTTTAGCAAATGGTAATAGTATCTATTTACAAAAGCTTTTCATTTATATTCGTAAATACATTCTAAGATTTCAATACATTCAGTGGCCAGATTATTTGGCTAGCGTTAGCCTTAGTCATGTCTGAACTTTCCTAAAAATGATATCCATCTTATCTGCTTTTGCATATGAAAATTAAACTGCTGGTAGTAAATACAATTTTTTTCACAATGACTACAGTTAATGACTTTCTCAGTTAATATCTGAAAGACCTTTTCTAGCTGGACATGTAACATCTTTGTTTTAAATCAGCCACGTTATTCCATTGCCACATTGCTTCTTAGAGATCCTACCAGATCGCTGGAAAATTTAATTCCACTTGTTATGTGACTGTCTGGCCACGTGGGCATATATTCTGGAAGCATACCTTAATAAAGCCATCCCTGACAGCCAGAGTATAGAAAATAGCCCCATTTTCCAAGTCTATGCAGATGAAGGAAAGGGTATCTTCTTGCATTATTTTCTAGCGCTCTCCGTCTGAAATTGAGACTACACAAGAAAGAGAAGAAAGTTAGCTGCAGTAGCAGAACGGATAAAGATTGGTGTAGTAATCACCCAGAGGCTCCTACCCACAGGCTAAAATCCATCCAAACAATTTTTATAAGGTAGTCTCTTATTCAAAAGAGAGCTTCCTATTTGTGACTGGTATTTCCGTTTCTTATTTATTCCAACTAGCGGCATGTAAAGGAGTCCTTTTTGAAACTGTCAATACTAGATCTTGGGAGGTAATTCATTCTCTCGTCTAGTCATCCAAGCCTTCCTTCTGTTTGAAGGCATATGCGAGGTGTCCTTACATAACTAAATGATGGCCTTGAACTGTAGCCTTGCATTTATGGGATTGCAGTGTGTGTGTATGTGCGTGTGTGTGTGTGTGTGTGTGTGTGTGTGTGTATGTGTCCTATGATACAGCAGCCTGTGGTCTGTTCATGTCAAATTCTTGAAAAGTTTGGAAAAAATGAGGAAATTAAGGCGGCAGATATGAAAAAAGCTAGCATAATAGGAAAGAACTTTGAAGTTATAATAAATTTCAACTATGGATTCACAGACAACATGGGATTTTACATTCCTTATACTAATGTGCTGCATTTTGACGAGATGGGGCATAGTCTCCACAGTGGTATGATGCTTGGGAGCAGAAGTGATAATAAACAAGCCACTAATCAAGATTCCTATCAGGATGACCAATCACAACAGAAAGTGCTTTCAATAGCTAGTCTGCGGTCCCTTCTGACCACTTTCTACAGTTTTCTTGAGTCCCTAAGTGATTTCTTACGGGTTTCAGTAAACTCAATGAAGTCTACTAACAATGACTATATGTGTGGTTGGTGTTTGGTTTCAACCACATGCTCTTTGATTTTAAATTCCCTTGGGCAGCCTTCACAAAAATATCCAATGATCGATTTTATAAAACTTTGTTTTATAATTTTATATATAATTACAAAATTATATTTTATTTTACTTATTTTTGTAATTTCAAAATATTAAGGGGGTACGAATGTTTTTTTACATAGCTTGAGTCAGGGCTATAAATGTGCCCATCACCTGAATAGTGTTCATTATACCTGTTAGGTGGGTTTTTGTCCCTCCCTCTTCCCTACTTGATTTCCAATAACTTTTATTTCTCTCTATGCACTTATGTGCCCATCAGTTCCAATTTATTAGAGGGTACATGTGGTATTTGTTTTAACATTCTTGAGATACTTTTCTTAGGATAATGGTCTCCAATTCCATCCAAATTGCTGCAAAAGGCATTAATTCATCCCTTTTTTATGGCTGAGTAGTACTCCATGGTACACATACACATTTTGTTAATCTATTCGTGAATTGATGGGCACTTAGGTTGATTACGGATCTTTGCAATTGTGAATTGTGCTGCAATAAAAATTCAAGTGCAGGTGTCTTTTTAATAAAATGACTTTTTTTCCTTTGGGTAGATAGATACCCAGTAGTGAGACTGCTTAATCAAATGGCAGGTCTACTTTTATTTTTATTTTTGAGGAGAAGGAAAGAGGAGTTTATTAATTTGCCAGCAAGTGAGGAGGTTGGGAGACTCCTATCTCAAAGCACCAATGTCCTTCCTCTGAGCAGAAGTACAGAGCTTTTAAAGCTTCCGATTAATCCCATAATCCCATCTGCAGCTAAGACAATCTCCTGTGGCACTAAGAAAAAAAGACACACTCCTGCCCCTCCCAACCACTGGCCGGGGGCAGGGATGTAGGTCTTAGTTCTCAAAAAGGGCAAGGGGGTTTTGACGAGACAGAAAACATTTTTACCCTTTTCCAGGCCATTTTCTCTGCTACATAGTCCCCACCGTCAATTTTTACCCTTCTGTATCTGCGGGAGGAGGGGTGACTTCGTCATCAAACGACTTCCTGCTGATTTGGGGCGATGTTTTAGATGGAAAGTTTATACTTATTTACGTCGTTACAAAGTTTTGGCAGATTCACAACCACAGATTATCAGGCTTTGAAAAAGGGCAGAAGTAACAACTACAACCGTGAGGACCGACAAGGCCAGATGGAGGATACCTGATAAGAGAGATTTTACCCCGTTTAGTATCCAAGACACCAGTAGGACTGTGGGTCCTTCCTGTCACCTTGCACGTAATGTCTTATACAGGACTGGGTAAGAAAGAAACACGGGACCTCTAAGTTGCCTTCCTTTCTCCTCCAGAACAACGCTTCTTTCAGAGAGGACTTAGAGAACTCTCTAGATAACAGGGAATACTGAGACCCACGTCCCCTATTAGTTAGAATGTTTTAGTCACATGGATTTCATCTCCACTCTTGGGCCATCTAAATTTCCATATCTTTTTAAAATATCAAATGATATCAAATTGTAGATGGTTATTAATTTCAATACAGATACTAATTAAGGAGGTAATACATTTTTGGCACTCTGGACAGTGTCTGGCATGCGTGAAGCACTCAATAAATGTTGTCATTACTATTATTATTACTTTTGTTATGTTATCAGTTCCAGGGTGTTTTTCTCCTTTTTTTGTGTGTTCTCTCAAATTCAGTGATTAAATTCCATTTAAAAATAAGGCCCAGAATGTCTAAATGCCTTTTAAAATATTTCGGAATATAGTCATTACATAAAAAACAAGTCAGTGATACTCTAGAGATTTTTGTGTCTGTATCACTTAAAATTTGCATATTCGTAACATCCTAATTCCTGAGATGATCTTTTAAATTGGGAAAGCTAAGTGAAAATGCAGTGTCTTACCAGACGTTTTCATTAAAAATTTTTCAGCACATCTGTGAAAAATCTCCTAAATTAAATCAATAAGTATTAGAGAGCAACCGGTAAAGGCTCAGCTACTATGTCTTAATTCCCGAGGATGGTTTGTAAAATATTAAAATCCAACACTGGGCTCCCTAAAAGTTTTTCCAGGTGCCATGGTGAATTATTTTCAGCCCATGTCTTAAAAACGCAAAACTTTGCTCTAAAAGAAAACAAAAATTTGTAGGAAAGGCCTTTACTTAATAACTTTTCACCGATATTTTACCCTTTAAAAAAGGGCAGCTTGAACAAACCAAACATTTTTCACCGTGTGCTTACTGAAATTTAAACAGTACAGAGAACCTGGGGCCAAAAGAAGTCTTCGAAGATTTTTCCACTGTGTTTGTCTCCTTTGGAAATTTCATAAAGTGTTTCTCATTCCCACACGTTAGCAATAATCTGCCTTTCATTTATACGTTTTTAAACTAATTGAACAAACAAGTAGTTTGTCATTGGCTTTGGTCACGGGGCCATTTCCACAGACTTGTTTCTGAGGCCCTCTTCTTGCAAAATACCTGCGTGTTTTCGTCTCGTTTTGGAACGCGCCTGGGAGTCCATCCGTCCCGTTTTGTCTAAACGCCCCGGCAGCGTCGCGAGTTTTAATTCTGGGTCGCAGTCGGCCGCGCTCGCGCCGCTCCGCATTTCGCGGGGGCCCGAGGCAGGTGAGTGGTAGCGGCCACACCCGAGCGTCTGGTGAGTTATTCGAGACGGCGGTTCGCCACTTCGGCGGAGTCCGGAACTCAGTCACGAAGCACGAACGCCCGAGTTCGAGACCCGCGTCGCCGGCGCGGAGCCGAGTGGGCGGAGCCGAGTGGGCGGAGCCTCCGCGCTCGCGCCTCCGTCGCTAGGGACGCGGCGGCCGCCATGGATCGGGAGGAGGGGCTGACGGCCGTGGACAATGTGGTCACGAAGTTCAACACCTACGAGGATTTCCTCGACTCGCAGATCACGACGGTGGACCTGTACTACCTGGAGGTAGGCGAGGGCGGCGGCGTGTCAGAGCGGCCGCCGCCTGGAGCGCCCTCGGGGCCGCCTAGAGCGCCCTCGGGGGCCGCCCGGCGTCTCGGCGGCGCGGCGCGCTCGCCCCCTGGCGGCCGGCGGCGCGTGTCCGGCTCCGCGGTACCCGGATGGCGGCGCCGAGACGGCGACTCGCGGGGGGCCTTCCCGCCCCGCGCTGCCTCGCTTCACACAGAATTTGGTCCCCTCGTGTCGCCCAGCGCGGCGGGAACGCGCGCTGCGGCCTTGAATGTCACCAGCTCGGCCTCGCCTGCCCCGTCCCGGGCCGCGCCCTTTCCGAAGTCCTTCCCGGTGAGGACGGAGGCGCGGGACGGACACGCTGCTCCTCTTCCTCGGCCACTGTGTGTCCAGGAACAGAAACCGGTTCCAGGACAGGTGGCGACACTAACCCTGTGTATTTGGGGCTGTCTTGGGCATTGGGTGTCACAGCCTCACGCCTCACGCTGCCTGACTCAGGAAGGCTTTACCTACCTGTGCGAATTCCAGGTAGCTGCGCAGGTGCGCGGGCCGCGCTCCCGCGTCACCGATGATGGTCACGGCTGATGCGGGTGACAAAAATGCAAAAAAAAAAAAAAAAAAAAGGCGCGAAACTGGATCTAATGGGTTGCTGTCTTGTGCCCAGCAATCCACCCCTCCCGATTATCCGCGCCGGAGGAGGTGGGAGTCAGAGGTGTGGTCCCCTTGCCAGGAAAACTCGGACTGGCGGGAAAACAGGCTTCTGGTCCTGGGAAGCTGGGAGGGGGATGGCGGGTCCCAAAGCCCCGGTGGATTCCCAGCCAGACTCCGTTGGAGGCCTCAGACTCCCTTGGAGGCCTCGGCCTCCTCCCAGGACCCAGAGCTGCCCCCTCTCTGTTTGGACCAGAGAGAACTAACCCACTTGCAAACCTGGGAAGGATTTGAGTCCGGCTGCCAAACTTATATGCAACAATGCAGCTGCACTTTAGTGGATTAACATTTTTGAACTCCAAAAGTCAGGTTAGAGCGAGGTTTCACTTAAATGTGGATTATAAGTTTCACAAGTGCTTATTCTGCAAAACACATTCATGCGCTAGCTATGAAAATAATGTTAAGGGAACAGAAACATCTAATTCTAGCCCTATCTCTGCTACTAATAAGTTGTGTGACTTCGGACAAATAATTTGATCTTTCTGGAATTATCTGTTAAAAAATAAATGCAGGTTGTATTTCCAATATAGCTCCTGGCTTGAAATACAATTTTTTAAAATTTTTTTATACAGATGATATGTTTGAAGTTATGAAAGTGAGTATGATGCCTTGCATTTAGGACATTGAAGGGAAGGGGAAAAGTAATCCTGCCAAACCATGCTTTTGCATCCAAATTTTTGAATGTTTAAATAAACAAAAATGAAATACAGACAATAAACATCTTGATAGAATAAAATCACCTTTGTAGCACATGTGGAAGATTGGGAAACTTAAGCCTAGCATCACTGAGGGAGATTTCAATATTTTTTAAGGCACAGTTTTTCCTCTGAGTTAGGAATAAAAAATTAATGTTGATTAGAAATTAACCATGAGAAATTAATACTTGTGTTTCATGAGTCAGAACTTTAAGGGTCTCCAAAATGAAAGATGGTGACTATATTTGGGGGAATGATAAAGAAATTTACTTTTTAATTTGGCATTGGTTAGGCTTATTCTTATTATACTTTCATAAACAATGAGATGAAGATTTAGTTGACTAATGATAATAAGGCAAGCGTATTTATTATTGGGTTGGTTAATGACAGCTTTTAAAGTGCTGTTAGCTCCAGAGAACTACATTCTCAAATATTTTCTGTGGATGCAAGTTAATTGCTAACTAAGGTCACACAGAAACAAATAGACTCTTCATAATTCCTTCAGTAGTATGGCAGGCATGTTTCATGAATCATGGATCGTGCTATGGGAGGTGATCCTTTCTCTCTTTTCCTTTTTCAGTAATTGACTTTTGTTTGAAAGATGCAAAGTTTTTAAACATCTTATTTTAATTGACAAAATTATAAATGGTTATCATGTACCACATGATGTTCTGAAAGACATACACATTGTAGAAAGGCTAGATTGAGCTAATTAACACGTATTACCTCACATAATCATCATTTTTGTTGTGGGAACACTTGAAGTCTGCCCTCTTGATATTTTTTAAGAATACAGTATATTGTTTTTAACTGTAGTCACAATGTTATATAATAGAGCTCTTGAACTTTTTTGAATGGAATAAAGTTTAAACAGTAAATTATTAACAGAGATAGCATATTGTGGTCAGTAGAGCAGTCATGAGATTTTGGTTCTAATTCTGCAATATTGTGTTTTTAATCCACTTGAAATTCCATTTTTTTTTTTTTACCTGCAAAGTGAAAGGGCTGGACTAAATTACATTCAAGGTCCTTTATGTCTGTAAAATTGTATGAGTCAGCTATATTTCCTTCTACTCCCATGCATTCATGTATTTATCCAACCACCTGTTTAGTTAATAATCCTTCACCAAGTGTCTACTGTAATAGAAACTGCCTTAATTGCTAGCAGTTTAAGGAAGAATCCGTTCTACATTCGACCTCAGTAACCTGACTTTAGTATAGTGCTTACATCCAGTCTAAGTTTCGTTTTTTCAGCAAACATTTTACAAGCATTTTCTATCTTTCAGGTACCCTTTTATTATGTAGCATATTCTTCTACTGCCAAAAATTTCAATTAATTTCCATAAAAAAATTAGTCTCAATGATTCACATACAAAATAGCCGTATTCTCCGTGCTGGATCCATTCTCTACCCTTCTCCAGCTGTAGGTGTGCCCCTGGAAGGTGACCTCCAGGATCATGAATCATGTCCCTTTGGCTTTGGATTGGTTTCAGCCAATAGAAGACACCAGCAGGAGATCAGAGAGCTGGAAGAAAGTGGTTAGAGGATTTATTCCCTGTCATCTTCCTCCTGGCTGTAGTTTAGAAGTGGCTACGTTCCTTAGGTTTGGCCAACTTCTCATCCCATCAGCTATAACGCTCTTTCAAGGGTCTGGCAGTGCTCATAGTTCTAGAAATTGCTTCCTCTCCTATCTCCTTTTATGCCTAATGGTGTTAATGGCTTTCCACTGTTGCTAGGGCAAGGATGCTTCGCCATCCCATGCTGGTTTTCATTAATTTTGCCCGTATCTTCGTAAATAGTGCTTTTATTCTTTTTAGTCATCCCTTTTAAGTTTGCCAACTATGTGCTGCATTAACCCTGACCTCTGTATAATCATTTAACGTCTGAGACCATGATAAGTACACAAATAGTATATGACTATAACCGTAATACATTTTATATGATACTTGGTTAGGAAGAAAGGGAAGTATGGGAAAGAATAAAGAAGGACACTAGTTAATTATTTGGTGAGCTAGAGAGAGGTAACGTGGTTCAGAAGAATAAAAGAAGCTTTTCATTTTATATCCACTGAGCTTTGCTTGTTTTACTACATAGCTATAAAACATTAAAAGAAATTTATCACAGTTTCAGCAATTAAATTTATTTCTGCTAACCCAAATAATATTTATTCTGGGAGCTAGTACCATCTAATTTAATTAACCTAATCCCCTATATCAGTATACAAATAGCTGAAAAGTTTTGGCAAATTTATTATACTATAATTTTCCAGGTTCTTTTTGGTAATCATTCCATTAAATAAACACAGTGCCTTCATTTCGAGGGCTGCTTATGATCCCTGGAGAAATAAAATTTCTAATTAAATTGCTTTTCTCAGATAAGGGATCAAAGAGTGTTAGAATTATTTGCAAATGTCCCTAGTGGATCCCAGGCATGGCTAAATTATTTATAGAGGTAAGCCACATGGAGTTTTACTTAGAGCATTATTTTCCCATTTAGAAAATAGAAATCAATAAATCATATGAATTAAACCTTTTGGATATATTTAAAAATATTTTTGGCAGGGGCCAGGCATGGTGGCTGTTGACTGTAATCCCAGCAATTTGGGAGGCTGAGGTGGAAGGATCACTTGAAGCCCAGGAGTTCAAGAGCAGTCTGGGCAACCCAGTGAGACCCCACCTCTACAAAATATAGAAATAATTAACTGAACTTGGTGGCACATGCCAGTAGTCCCAGTTACTCAAGAGGCTGGGGCAGAAGGATCACTTGAGCCCAGGAGTTTGAGGCTGCAATGCCCTCCGATGATGCCACTGCACTCCAGCCTGGGCAACAGAGCAAGACCCTGTCCTAACAAAAATAAAATAAAATAAAATAATTTGGCATTTATTGATTAGGTGAGACCCTAGGGAAAATCCAGTAACATAATCTACTATGATTATACAATAAGCCAACTAACAAATGAGCATTGTATTTTTCCCATTATTTATTGCATCAAGGTACATAATGAATACTGTATGAAAAATCTTAATTCATATATTTTAGAATCAGCTACAGTCTTTTGTTTATTCAGTGGAAGAAAATTGGCATGCTCTGAAAAGGAATTCTATATTTTTCTTTCAGTAGGTTTGCAGCAGCGCTTCTCCCTAAATAAAAATGTTTGGTTTCCTCATGGACATGAATGTTTTTGATCAGGGGTGAAACTCAGCCAAGAATGCTATATCCCTAATACATCTAAAATTTTATCATAATGGTATAATTAAAATTCCTCGAGACTAATATCCTCCTCAGTGTCTCAACTGTGTCTCAAACAACTCCCTAAAATCTATATTCTACATATTTATATTAAATTCCATTAAACTTTTATTAAACTGATTTCCACAGCTATTGATGGGATAAGACAAGAGCGTAAGTGGGGAGAGTTCCCAAGGAGAGTGTGTAGAGTGAGACAAGAAAGGAGTGAGACAAGAGAACAACCCTCACTCAAGGCAGGGGCTGGAGCTTGTGCTCACAAAGCAGAAGGAGAAAGGGGTAAGAAAAGGAGGAGGGAATCAGGGAGAACAGGACATTCCAGAAGCTAAGAGCAGCTGCACGCAAAACCAA